GAGAGAGAGAGAGAGAGAGAGAGAGAGAGAGAGAGAGAGAGAGAGTTTTGTTCATTTTGTTGATATGACTGAGAGAGAGAGAGAGAAAGAAAGAGAGAGACAGAAAGGAAGAGAGATAGAGAGAGAGGGAGGCGCGGGGCATACCAGAGAGAGAAAGAGAGGCTGAATGGCGAAATTGAAATATGGGTCAAATTGCGGCCGCAATCTATTTCGCAGTTGGAATGCATATTTTTAAATTTATTTAGTGTTTTTCCTTGAAAGATCACAACAAAATCTACGAGTACTCCAATTGTTAGTTTTTTTCACGCATTGTTTTCAGAATGAAAGCTCACTGAATTTGGAGTACTTTTTCGGTTGGCCCACACATGGCTGAGTGGCAAAAATAAAAAATGTGTTGAATTGGCGCGACGATTGTTTCTCGGTTTAAATAATTTTTTAAAGAATATTCTAATATTTTTCCTAGAAAGAACACAACCTCATTTGCGGATTCTCCAAATTTCATATTTTTTCTACAAGTTCCTCCGAGCACCGAAAATCGCCGAAGTTGCCTCTTGCAAAACGCCTATTTTTTAGTGCCTGACCTCCCTGTTTTGAAAAGACAGGCCTCAACGCCCGGGCCTGAGGGCCCTTTTGCAGTTCTCATGCCCTCACTTCGTTTTGGGGTCTGCTTCCACCCATGGACCCGTCCAACGACCCCACTCCTTTTTGGGGTCCGCTTGCATTCCAGGACCGGTCTTTCCTTTTTTCAAAAAACCCGGTTCTACCATAACTAACTGTAGGTAGTCCGCAATTTTGCCAAGGACAGGTCCCCCAAATTTTTTTGCCCCCTAAGAACCCACTTTGCGTCCTGGTCGCCCGCCGCCGAAAATGTGAAACCTTGCCACAGACGTCGAACCCCACTATACCACAGCCTTAGGGTTGCGAATTCAGTGAGTTTTCGGCCTCAGAAGAATGCGTGAAAAAACCTGAAAATTTGAGTACTCGTAGATTTTGTTGTGATCTTTCCAGGAATAATATTATGACATTTTTGAAAAATAATTTAGACTGCGAAATAATCGTCACATGACTCACGTCGATTCGACACATTTTCCATTTTTGCCACTCAGCCATGTGTGGGTCAACCAAAAAAGTACTCCAAACTGTCCACCACGTGGGTGCGGGGAACGCATTCCTAAGGTAGCCGAATCAATGAGATTAAGAGCTCTCACGAGAGAGAGAGAGAGAGAGAGAGAGAGAGAGAGAGAGAGAGAGAGAGAGAGAGAGAGGTTGAATGGCAAAATTGAAATATAGGTCAAATTGCGGTCGCGATATATTTTGTAGTTGGAATACTTTTTCTTAATTTATTTACTATTTTTTCTGGAAAGATCACAACAAAATCTACGAGTACTCCAATTTTCAGGTTTTATCACGCATTTTTTTCATAATGAAAACTCATTGAATTTGGAGTACTTTTTCAGTTGGCCCACACGTAGCTGAGCGGCAAAAATGGAAAATGTGCCGAATCGGTGTGACGATTATTTCTCAGTCTTAATGATTTTTTTAAAATATTCAAATATTTTTTCTAAAAAGAACACGATCTCGTTTATGGATTCTCAAAAACTTATATTTTTCTGTGGGTTCCTCCGAGCACAGAAAATCGCCAAAGATGCCTTTTGCAAAACGCCTGTTTCGTTGCGCCTGACCTCCCTGTTTTGAGAAGACGGGCCTCAACGCCTGGGCCTGAGAGCCCTTTTGCAGTTCTCATGCCCTCACTTCGTTTTGGGGTCCACTTCCACCCGTGGACCCGTCAATGCCCCCCACTTCTTTTTGGGGTCCGTTACCACCCGTGCAACGCCCCCCACTTCTTTCTGGGGTCTGCTTGCATCCCCGGTCCGGTCCTTCCTTTTTCCAAAAGTCCCGGTTCTACTAGAGCTAGCTGTAGGTAGTTCGCAATTTTGCCGAGGACCGGTCCCCCAATTTTTTTTGACCCCTAAGAACCCACTTTGCGTCCTGGTCACCCGCCGCCGAAAATGCGAAACCTTGACACAGACGCCGAACCCCACTAGACCGCAACTTTAGGTCTGTGGATTCAGTGAGTTTTCTTGCTTAGAAGAATGCATGAAAAAACCTGAAAATTGGAGTACACGTAGATTTTGTTGTGATCTTTTCAGGAAAAACGCTCAATAAACTTTGAGAAATCATTCCAACTGAGAAAAAGATCGCGGCCGCAATTTGACCCATGTTTCAATTTTGCCATTCAACATCTCTCTCTCTCTCTCTCTATGGTAGGCCCCCCCTTTCCTCCCTCTCTATCCCTCTTTCTTTCTCTCTCCAACTCTCTGTCTCGCTCTCTCTCACTCATATCAACAAATGGAACAAAACTAACTCTCTCTCTCTCTCTCTCTATCTCTCTCTCTCTTTCTCTCTCTCTCTCTCTCTCTCTCTCTCTCTGTGGTAGCCCCCCTCCTCCCTCTCTCTCTATCTCACTTTCTTTTTCTCTCTCACTCTTTGTCTCTCTCTCACACTCATAATAATAAATGGAACAAAACTTTCTCTCTCTCTCGCTCGCTCGAGTGCGCTCTTAGTCTCATTGCTTTGGTTACCTTAGGGGTGCGTTCTCTGCGCCCACGCGGCAGACAATGTCATGGTCGCCCGCCGCCAAAAATGCGACACCTTAACACAGACGCCGAAGCCCACTATACCACGGCCTTAGGGCTGCAAACTATAGCGCAACCTTAGGGCTGCCAATACCTCAGCCTTAGGGTTGCGAATCATGGGGAACCAGGTAGCAGTCACATCCGTGCTCAAACCTCCAACGAGGGAACATGCGGGAGCTGCACCCACCAACAGGTGGGCATTATCGGGGCTAGGTCTCACTTACGCGAATTAAGCAATATCCACCGTAGATAGTAAAGATCTCTTAATCCGTGCAAGTGGGACCTAGCTCCCTGCGACGGGTGAGCGGGTAGCATCAGGACCTCTTCTTTTATGGGCCAGTCACTGTGCGTCTCCTCCGGTCGGCTTTTCCAGCCTCCTCCTGTTACCTGTCCCCTGCAACACTTCCGTCCACATCCGCCACATGTTCGTCCACACATGTGTACACATACATACGTACAAACACACACACACACACACACACACACACACACACACGCAAACACACACACACACACACACACACACACACACACACACACACACACACTCATTCACACCCACGCGGACGACCATGTGCCCCCTGCGCCACACACAACCGCACTTAGGTAGACACTCATTGACACACACGAGCACACGCGCACACACACAACCATATGCGCGCGCACACACACACACACACATCATACTCACACGAAACCGCCCGAACGCACACACAGATATAAAACCAGGCGCACCGTACAAACATCCTCCCCCCCCCCTCTCTGTACACACGCATGCATCAAGCGCCCACTTCCTCTTGCCCTTCCCCGGCCCACTCGTTTCTGTTTACATCTTTGTCTGGATTGGCTGTGGTCGGAAGCAACACTTCACTGTACTAGGGTGCAGTAAGGGGGAAGTGGAAAGGCAATATTATGGCTACGACAACCTGTCTTGATGATCCCACGAACCTCGTCACCCTCCGTGGCGGCGATGGTCGAGCAAGACATGTTCTCTCTCTCTCGTGAGGGGTTGGTCTCAATCCCCCCCCCCCTCCCCCCCCCTTTGTGATCGTGACCGCTTGTGACTCACTGTTGTGATCGTGACCAATCGTGGTGGTGATGGTGGGTGTGATCGTGAATGCTCGAAAACTTGTGGTTGATGTGTGGCATCTGACATCTCTGTAGCTGATATAAGAGAGTTAGTTCCAATGGCACAGTGTGAGAGGGGAAGAGAGTGTGTTTTTTTTTTTTCCAACTTTTTTTTTTTTNTTTTTTTTTTTTTTTTTTTTTTTTTTTTTTTTTTTGACTTGACTTGATTGGATATGATTGGACGTGATGTTGATTGGATTTGATTGCATTCGATTTGATTCGATATGATCACAATCGATTTTGCCCTAAATGGGACGTGGATTAATCCAATCGGTTTGACCTAACTTGCTCGACCTAGGGAAGGCTTGCAGGGACCTCTTCTTCGGGGGCCCCCTCTTCAGTCAAGGATGCTTCTCCTCTTCGTCGAAGGACCTAACGTTCCGCCACGTGGCAGGGGTGTGGGGGAGCCTCAGTTTTAGTGGGTAGAGGCGTTTTTTTCCTGTGTTAGCTCTCTCCTTCTCACATCATGGACAGAATGCTTTCCCGTTTGTCTATGATTACTCCAGGCTCTCACCTAGTTTGGTTTGTTCCCTCATTTTTTTTTTCCTTTTTTTTCCTTTTTTTACCTTTTTTTTCCTTTTTTTTCCTTTTTTTTTAATTTTTCTTTCCTCTTTTTTTCTTTTTTTCTTTTTTTTTTCTTTCCTTTTTTTTCTCTTTCTTTTCCTTTCTTTTCCTTCTTAATCAAGCTTGAGGACGGCGCTGATCGCGTACCCACCTAACCGCCGTTACCTTCTTAGGGGGTTAGGGTTTTTGACATGGAAGGGATTGGCTGATGGCTTACATCAACCTGGGTAGATGTTGAGATTTGATTGCATGTCCGTTTTCACAGCGCAGATGGTGTAGTTATTCCCCTTCCCCAACAAGGGCAATCAATGTTGACCATCGTTACGATGCTATCGATAAACCACTATAGGCACCTATGTTGTAGTTGGGACGCTTGACCTCCTTTCCAGCAGGTGCAGCTCCCCACCAATAGATTGGAGCCATTTTCTCCTTGAAAAAAAAAGAAAAAGAAAAAAAGAAAAAGGGAAGAGAGAGTTTCGACTTCCGACTTGGCCTGTGTTTTTTGTCTCTTACCAAGCTGATCCAACAAGTCAGTGATTTTTTTTTTTTCTTCGGTTTTTAGCTAGGTGTTTCGTTGATATCAAGATCATGTATTGCATCCTCTCTGTACTACGCTATCTAACCTCTCTCTCCCTCTCCCTCCCTTTCAAATCATCACAATCTTATCGATTGTGGATAAGGACTTAGCAAGAAAATGAGGTAACACTGCTGACCGTTGTGATCGTGAACACTCTTGGCGGTGATCGGGGTTTTAATCCTGGGAGTACTTGTGCCGTGGATCTTGAACGGCCGCATGGCCCGGGGCGCTGGAGACAGTCGTGCTCGTGGTGGCTTGTGGTGTTGATTGTGATTCTATGGGTGTGGTGGTGGTGAGGGGGGTCGTGGTTGTGGTAGTGAGGGGGGTCGTGCTCGCGAAGGCTTGTGGTGGTGAGGGGGGTCGTGGTTGTGGTGGCTTGTAGTGGTGAGGGGGGTCGTGCTCGTGGTGGCTTGTGGTGGTGATTGTGGTTATATCGGTGTGGTGGTGAGGGGGGTCGTGGTCGTGGTGACTTGTGGTGGTGATGGTGGTCGTGGTTGTGGTGGTGAGGTGTCACGGTTGCAATCATAGAGTGCTCGCGGTGGACATGTTACGCATGATATCTTTGACTGTATGAAAGGGTTGGGTTAATTTGCGGTGGAAGAGAGGGAAAGAGAGTGTCGAGATTTTTTGATTGCATCTGTCTCGTTTGGCCTGTCTGGAGTTGGTGGATGCACATGTCAGCTACAAGAAAGACGAAGGAACACGAAGACAGTTGAGGATGGCGGGCAACATTGAGGCGCGTCAAGGACTGGGGGCGCAGAAAAAGAGGGGCAAATTTTGGTTGCACAACATGCCCGAGCAAGAAGTAGGGAGCCTACATCTTGAGGGCCTGATGACCCTTTTTTTTTACTAAAACGAAAAAGAAAAAAAAATAAAATAATAATAAAGGTATTTAAAAATTGTAAATTTTATATAATGAAAATCCTAACTATACGGGCATATTCAACCAAAGGAAAATAAAAGTCCGTCCGGCCAAGTTGGGGCACATGGACTTTCCCACCAACTGATGCAAAAATAAAAGCCGAGAGCGAGCCTAACACGTCATCAAATTTCTGCTCTGGCTATGCTAACGCCCATCCTAAGGGCAGACTCATAACATCGCTCTCGAAAATGCATCAGTGTAATATCTGATCTGTGATCCATCAGGTCAAAAAAAAAAAAAAAAAAAAAAAAAAAAAAAAAAA